CACAAATTTTCATATGTAGTTGAAGTTGCATCGTCTTCAAGACGGCTGTTTCACCGCGAACAACTCTAGTTCTGTTGTAGTTTTGCGATGTAAAATAATATATATATTATAATAGTAATACTTAATTTAATTAATAGTTTAATTATTTGGGGTTTCAGCCCACAAGTTGCGGACATGATCCCCATGAATTACGGTCAATGTTTGTCCTGCCTCGGCTGATTGTGTTGACCGACGCCCTTCCTAAACTCAGTATGGAGAAACCACGTCCATGGAGAAACCAACGGGGATTGACATTCCAAACAAATTATTGGGACACGGTCGACCAACATTCTAAACAGATTTTTCTAGATATTTACAAACATACTGTCATGACAAACATAGGTAACATTAACAAATACACAAAGAGGTGTAATATTAGGTTTTATTTTAGGCTTAGAAATATTTTCTTTCACTCAGCCATGCATGGAACTGCCATTTAGCTTCACGGTCCTTCAGCTTGTCTTCACCTCTGGGAAAACAACAATAATTATACAAAACACATCGCGAAGGCTCGACAATCAGGAAAGAAAACCCAGACAACCATGTCGTACTTGTGTTGAAATACCTTTCACGTCAGAATAGTGTTTGAAATAAAATATTCGATCCAAGCCAAATCAAGGTCAACGGGTCAGATTGCTTGCATATAATTATAGATAGTTAAAACGAAAAGTATTTGAACTTTTGTCAGCTGTTCAACATCTATAAAAACCAGAAAGACAATTATAAGACAATGTGAACCTCGGAAATTTGTTTGTTAGTCCAAATTTTAAATGCGGACGGGCGGTGATATTTCGGGGTTTGCGCGGTCAAAAATAAAGCAGAAATTGTCCGGTCGAATTCAACAAGCGGTCGCAAAAGCTAGAGAAAAAGCTGATTGGAAAGCGGAAGCGGGCAGGAGGTTGTGCGAAATGAGAACTGTAACTTTGCGCAACTTGCTTTTAAATCGTTTTATTTTCCAAGTCAATACTCTATTTTACTAATACCATTTTTTTTAACGCAATGGCGAGGAAAAGAAAGAAAGCGTTGACAGAAGAGGCAAAGAAAAATCTGCCACTCAGTGTCGCACTCTGACACAGCAATTTTTTTTCAAACATCTGCCATTTTGTTTCACCATGAAAACCGTTTTATTAGATCTCTTATTAGAGACACTTGAAGGATTAGCTTGTTTGTAAACTGTCAGCGTGTACAGTGGGACAGTAATGTTTGTCAGAGGATTATCCCTCGTTGTTCGTTTGCATAACAATGGAAACCTGAACATTCCTGGAGTACGGACTCAAATGCTCGAGCTTGAAATTATTCATTATCTGACACTCTTTATGAGTTCTATGATATCAGTGGTTAATATGTTTTATTATCCAAAACTGATTTTCGCGTTTTTCTCGAGTTGAAGTTTTGATTGAGTACGAGTCATTGGGACCGCCGCCAAATCAAGTGCGTTCGGACTAGGACATTTTCGATGTCACGTGATAATTATGTAAACAATGACTGTCCAGTTTGTGTGAACTTGTACCTCTATGCTTAGTCTTTTGAAATATATAAGCTAAATTACTGTTCTGAACGAGACAACAGACAGAGAATGTTTTATTTAAAAACGTCACAAAACCCTTCTCGCTACCTTAAATACCAATAAAACTACTGTCATTGTATGTGAAGCTAATGCTAATTATGAACTGTTAAAATGTCAGCACCATAGTAGCACAAATTTTTAATTTCAAGAGACCATTTTCTGTTTACTGCGAGATCTCACATTATGTATAAAATCACACATAAAAACACATTTAATAATAATTTTGATGAAGTGAAAGGAAGCTCAATGCCACTGAAAAAGACATTAAAAAAAGATATTCAAGTCCAAAATTATATCATTTGATTTGTGCGACAGAAGTTCGGTCTATGTTTTCGATGGGATACACAAGATCTTGCAGTGCACCTAAAATGCACTACTGTAAAGGGTTTAATTATTCACCGGGTTTTAATTTTGCTTATTTCGCTGACTGGAAAATGCGCTAAATTTAAACCCAGTGAATATGTAAAATTTAGCATAGAACATATTATCTAAATAATAAATGCGTGAATTTAAAACCCACTGAATATGCTTGAAATGATAAATCAGTGAAATTTAAACCCAGTGAAAATTAATCATTTTACAGTAGTCGCTGTTATTACCTTTATTTAAATAGCTGTTTGGTGCACTCTTTACATATTTACATTATTTCTAAATTCTAATATATTAGACCTATTATTATTAAGGAATGACTGACAGGTGTATTTATGTTCAAAATAAGTCATACTTCAATGATTCAACATACACTAAATGTGATGTATGGAGATGAGCTTCTAATAGAGCAAATATGGTAGCCCAGCAAGCTACTAATTTTCAAAATTCTACAAGAATTGGCAGTCCATATGCATGCATTGTGCTACAAGTACTGGTCATTATTTGTAGGAACAAAACTAAAATCTTCAGAAGGCATGCATCATTTTTTCGTTGTGAATCTAAAATATTTCCTTTTAATTTCTTGTATTTTGTATTCAAATGCAACTGATTCAAGATGGTCCTTTAAAAAATTTGCTTTAATAGAGGGAACACTTGTATATACTGTACCACCCACCTTGCATAGTTGCCAGGATTGTCTTCAGAGCTCCTTCTTCCACAATCATTTTTGCATGGTCGTGAGCATGTCCAAAGGGAACACGCACATCATCATCAACAGTTAGTATTCTCAAAGTCTGACAAGATTCCCTCACAACTGATGCATCACATCTGTGTTTCTCCAACACCTGTATAACAAGCGGTATTAAGTTCTGCTTGACGTAGGACTGACGGTTCGTCTCGTGCATTATACACGTTATTCTGATCGTTTTCAACAACGCAGTCGTCAGATGTGCAAACTCCATATACTGTTGCAGCAACTGAAGTAAAACTCCTATTCCTACCTTATCTATTATATCGGGCTGTCCATTCAAAAAAGCGGCCAATGCGACAACCACATGCAATAACATATCAGCATTATTTTTATATTTCTCGTAAAGTTTATACAATGTTACATAAGCCTGACTAGTCGCTGCCAGACTACGACGGGCAAAGTCCAGATCACACTCAGATTTAAACTTCTTCAGATTCTCAGATATCAGGGTATCATTATCGTCTCCTTGTAGAAGTTCGTTGAGTTTATCAATTGCCATGACAACTGCATGTTTTGTTTCCACTCCACCACTGCCATCACCCAGATTGAGACACTTAATAATGTTACTGAGGTCAATGCCCTGTGTCTCAAACTGCTTTACTGCATCTTCTAACGCTTCTTCCGGTTCCATTTCAAAATCCTCAATGTTTTCTTTCACAGCATTATCAAATGTCTCTTGAGTGATTCGCTTAGAAGCCATGATGTAAACTAGTCTATATATCTGAAACATTATAGTGGTCAAGAAATATTAAATGTGTGCAAGAAACTCCACATCATCACACCAGTGTACCCTCCAAGCTGACAGGTAGCTGATGCACAGATTTTTTGTGACGCAACTAGTTATGCCAATATAGGGAAACATCTTACTACTCCCTTCGCAACAAAGGCATATTTCTTTCTTATTTATGCATTTCCCAATTCTATTGACTGAAGTTTTCAAATGATTCACTGTGCTATTTGAATGATTGGCTGGTTAGATTCAACTGCCATTGATATTTATGGATTTATATGGAATGCTTTTGTTGCACTGAGAGTGTACCGGTAGTAATTTGGCTAAAATGAAATTCACAATTTATAAACAGCAAAAATGTAAAAACTAAAGAAATTTAGTTTGTGCCTTCAGAAGCTCCCTATAGCCACCAACTGACGATCCCAACAAAACTAGTAATATTGGAGGACACATATACTCAACAAAAATCGTCAACTCAAAGCAGATCAAGACAGTGGAAGGAATTCAATTGATTCCAAAGATGGAATACGCATGGCAGCGTCCGGCCACCACCACCTAGCCGTGAAATATGATGACGAACGCCACAATAACCCCGACGACGATAAAAACTAGATATAGTCACAGTCCCTCTATCATAAAGGGACTGTGATATAGTGTACCTGCGTTTTATGAACTCTTGAAGTTCAATGATCTGTAACATGTCTGTACCGAACATTTCGTTTACCAAAACCATACCAAACAAGCCAGCCATTTCCCAGTATAGAATGCACTGCTGTTGCAACAAAACTCACCTGTTATTGAGTAAGCAGTTTGTCTTGTAGAAATGTAAAATAGTCGTCGACAGCAACTTCTTTTTACACCTGACAGGTGATTCGGTTGTTTATCACCGTGACAATGCGCTAAACAACGTGCGCAGACATGTTGGTTAGGGCATGACGGGTAAACGCCCTCACAAGGTTTGGAAATTCCAGAGACTGTGCTGAAACGAAGCGAAGAGCGTTTCGTTCGCAGGTAGGTCCAACATAATGTTACTGTTTTAAGCACCATAGTCGTTGCATGAAAAGGCAATAGCGTTAATTTGTATTTTAGTTTGAATATGTCGATTTTTTTGTTTTTCTTGCCGTTAATCAGTTCTTAGAAAATCGTGTCCCAGTCGCCTCTAACTAGAAAAAAAAAAAAACATTTTAAAAAATACAAATTATTATATCTAAGTTTTTCTATTGACAATGAGTGCGAAGAAATACGAAACTTAGTGAAGCCGACTATGTGTAAAAATTTAGTTTAAACTTGTTGAAAGTACGTAGCTTATTCTTTTCTGGTTCAAATACCGTAGGCAACCAGACTTTATTATAGTAAATTTGTTTGACTTTGGTTTTGAATTTTATATAATGATATATTCATCACTAATTTTAGTTAATGTGTCTGGATAATCTTTTAACAAATGCTGTTCTAGAATTGCCATTCATTTTATTGTCAGTATTGAAAGGAAAGTCCAGCAGATGATAACTTAATGGGAAATTTAATTACCTTTTCGCACAAATGTGGAGTATTGTAATTGAGTTTTTATTGAAGCTATATTTTACCCAGGTAAACGGAATATTAAAACTGTACAGGCATGTGTGTGTGTTTATGTGGTCCTAATGGACCACTCTTTTTATATAAATCAATCAATAGAATATTTCAGTCACATGTGGCATTATCCCAGTACGTCATCAAATCCGCCATCTTGTTTACCTTAGTTTGTAGTGTTGTTTGGGCATGCTTTAGTACAGGTGACTCTTTATATATCGTAACACAATTCCCAAATAACAAGTTGCTAACATCAGGGAAATCTTGACAGCGCGCAACAGAAACCTGCAAATGACCTTTTATACGTGACGTATCTTTCGTTTTTGTGATATCTGGAATGTGTTCACATTCAAACTTTATAACCCAGATATTTTGAATATTTACACTTGCGTTTGTAAGGACACCCACTGTTCGTAGTGCATGGTCCCTATTGGGAGCATTCGTTGTTTGGTTTCATCACAAGGAGTTGGACAAACTTATGTATTTTAATAAATTATTAAATAATAAAGTGTTATATAACTTTTCTTTTACAATAGGGTGTGAATGTTGTGTCTACATCGCGCATTAAAATTTGCATATAACATTAGCGGGTAACAAAGATTGTGATAAAAGAAAGAGTGGTATAAACAAAGTTCAGTGATTACTTGAAATCGATACTAGAAAAGTTTTATTATTTAATAATATATTAAAATACATAAGTTTGTCCAACTCTCCGTGGTTTAATACACACCTCGTGGTCATTCCAACATCGGGCTGGCGGTGAGACAAAATTAGAAGAAAAACAGCTGATCAGTTATTTCAAACAAAATAATTTCTCAAATTGAGTTCCTATAAAAATAAAGGCGCTATCTAAGTTACATTCTACGCAAGGCATAGAAACTTAAATAATTCAAATTTTGAATAATTAAAGTTGTATTCACACTCTGTGAAGGGGCCTTTCGAGCTAAGTTAAATTTGTGAATAACAGAGACTCACTGAGTTAGGACACTGTTTGTCTTTGGGGCAGTTGCATTGTGGGTATCTTAGTATAAACAACCTTCAGATTGTTCTAGAAGTGATGTTTAACATGTTTTCAAAATATGGATACAACTTTTAATGTTTCAGTATACGATTGTTGAGATATGTTGTATCACAAATGTACGCTCCCGTGAACGCAATTTTCATCGTCATCGCAACGTTTTTCATTTCCATTACCACAGAATTTTTACTGGAAAACAAAATAAAATATACTTTCAACAACTTGTGATTCTTATTAGTAGTCAAAATTTACTCACATAGCGATGTACTGTAAAAATCGTGGCTAAAGCCAGTGAAGTTGCTTTAAAGGGCGGTGATCGTCTCGCGTCACGTGTTCGAATTTCACGTAAAAACCTACGTTCTGTACGTCGCCATGAGTCCCATGCCGAACAGGACGCGGCGCGACGACCACCGCCCTTTAAATGACACAATATACATACCCACGTTTCATGTCCAAGGCCGTTGACTTTGGAATTGACACACGTAGTTACAATTAATAGAACATATATCAAGTTCGTCGACATCAATGATTGCGGAAACACTGGCGGATTCGGCGTTTATTCGAAATAAGTGTTGCCGTCCCGACTAATTCCACTCAGAGTGAACGAACATTGAAGTACGGCGCATTCCAAATACATGTTTTGAAAGGGCTGATATGCAAGTTAAAGAACACTTGATACTGTACCCAAATGATTGTCAATAATTTGTGAATTGTTTTCAAGGCCAACTGCATGTTGATTTCTTATATGGTGTAGTACACCACAATACACTAAGGCACTTACACATTACCTAAG